GAGAAGGGGAAGGGGAAGGGGAAGGGGAAGGGGAAGGGGAAGGGGAAGGAGAAGGAGAAGGAGAGTGTGGCTTGTGTGAAACAGTTAACCCGAGCTGTGTGCTCAAGGGAGGGTGCGTGTACCGCTTGCTGACTGTGGATTCTCCCACTGACTTTGCTCCGAGTCAGAATTAGCTAATAAGTCATCTAGCTACGTACCCACTTTGGCCTGGTTTGCCCTGGCATTCATTGCTGCTTGGAAGGAAACCTCAGAAATGAAACCATGGGCAGGAAAAAGGTGGGTGCCCACCTTCCGAGCAACCCAGGCATCCAGCTAGAGTAGAGTCCACAATAATTACTGGCCAGTTTTCAAATGCTCAGCGTAGCATTAGGGACCTTCCGGCACAGTCACTGTCATGTTCTCTTTGACTGAGGATGAAACTGAGACCTACACCTGCTAAAGCTCCCACAGGCAGTGGGCGGGGCCAGGATTTGAACTCGGGTTAGTCTGGCTTGTGTTTGGAGCCCACATTCATCATTCTAACGCCATGACCCCCTGTAGCAGGCCTCCTCCTACCACTGAATTAGGAAGGAAAAGAGACGGAAAGTGGGCTCCTTCCTGTCCCATCCCAAGGCCTCCCTCCGATGAGACTCAATCCTGTCCCTGGCACCTAACACACCGCCTGGCCCAGGAAGGTGCTCAGCAAGGGTTTGTTGAATGAACTGAATGATCCTGAGACCAGCATCCTCTCTGGGTGGCTGAGCCTCAGCTAAACCAGCCAAGGGGTTCCAAGAAGCCCAAAGCTGAGGGGTGCAGAATGCCAGGAGTGAGGAGGCTGGGAGAACCGAAGCCCCAGACCCTCCTTTCCAGGGGATTGGAAAGGGGAGGATTATAAGACTGAATCAGGGTGAACTACACTCGGCACCCTTAAGAGGTATGTGGGGGGGGAGGAGGGGTCCTCAGCGTTACCTTAGCATCTTCCCCCATCTGTTTTCCACCTTGAGTGTCGCTATAACTCTCTTACCATCACTGAAGCTCCTCAGCATGTGCTCTTGGCATCTTATAAAGAGCATGTCCCTCTTCTCGTCGGCACTTGGAAAAGAAATGGTGGAACTTTCTAGAAATGGTAACCGTTGTATTTTACTAAGTAAGGTCCCATAATGAACGTGTTTATCATATTTAGATGAGGCCTCTTGCCTTCGTGGCCCCACTGGTTTCCTGCTGGCCTGAGTGCATGCTGGGGCTCCTTGTGCTTAATGAATGTTAATGAATGATGACGAAGACCTTTTAGGAGAGGATTCAACTACACAGTCTGCCTAAGCTTTCAAGTGGGTTTATAAGAAGCACATAACATAGAGCGAACACTTGGAAAAGTATGAATACACATCGTCTCTGCTTTGCAAGAGGAAAGTTTATTAGAAGATGTGCAAAGGGACTGGGGAGCTGCCAGAGAAGGTCAAAGCAACAGAGAGAACCACAAAACATCTCAGATGACACCGTCATGGCCCAGACCTGTCTGACTCTCAGCTCAGACAATAACTACAGGAGAGCAGCCTTGAATGAAGAGGATCAGGCAGGCAGGGCTCAGAGCCGCCACATGCTGGGCATATGTTCTTCTTCTAGACCAGGATTGATGGTGATGCCTGCGGTGATGGTTGTCAGAGAAACAGGGCTTGTCCATCCGTGGTCTTCTGTCTTCATGCTATCCTCCTGCTGGCACCAGGATGTCTAGCAGGGCCCACAGCGGGTTCGGAAGCCACAAGGGGCGCAGGGATTGGTGACGCAGGGCCCGATGGGCTTGTCACACGCATTGGTCGTGGCACAGGGGTTGCAGGGCAGGCTGGGACATAGAAGTATTAGCTTGTTAGCATGAGAGGGATAATTTCTCTTTTAAAAAGGAGGCTCAACCCCAGGAGACATGGAGACAGGAGGAATTCATTCTCTGACACCTTAAGAAGCCAAGCCTCTTCTGATCACCTTTCTAAAAAGTCAGACAGTGGTGGCAGAAAAGAGCCAACCCTCATGTTGTAATCCCAGACTTCGCTCTGTAACCCTGGAGTCCTGGAGAAGTCACTTCATCCCTTGAAGCCTTGGCCTCCCCGCTAAAACAGGATTAGTAAGACCTACCATACAGAATTGTGAAAAGTCCACAAGACTGTATTCATAAAAATTCTGTGTTAGGGGCCAAGTGCTGGACCCTGAGTTACTGAGTTATCCTCCCTTTTGATGTTCAGATGCTCATCTCGATGATGGTTATATGATCCTCACGTTGCCTGCCTCAGATGGGTCCAACTGGGATCCACAAAACAATGGATTGGGGCGCTTGGGTTAAATCCCACCCTGAAGGTGGTACAAAGCTTTATGTTCCCATCAGCACCCAAGTCAAGTCTCTCAAGTATCCTTTGGACCAGAAAATACCTTTAGCCCAGGTTACGGTAGCAAAAATACCGTACATCTGGTCTCTACAGACATGTTGGCTTCTGAAACTTGACTTGCAAAGTCCGTAATGTATCCTTCAGTAGAACTGGGCCTGTGCTGCCTGTGGGTACTCACTTGCAGTCCTCGCTCTCCAGCAGGCCCCGGTACGTGTTGATCTCACCCTCCAGCCGGGCCCGGACGTCCAGCAGCACCTGGTACTCCTGGTTCTGCCGCTCCAGGTCACCCCTGATCTCGGCCAGCTGGGACTCCACGTTGCCGATCAGGCACTGCATCTGGGCCAGCTGTGAGCTGTAGCGGGCCTCCGTCTCTGCCAGGGTGGATTCCAAAGCATCTCTCTGTGAGGACCAGGGTTGTGTAGGGAGGAGGAAGGTTAAGGATCAGAGAAGGAGCAAGGAAGATGCACCTAATCCATCTGGGTCTCACAGAGGCTTCGGAATCCAAGAACAGAAGCCCATAGAATCACTTTGAGCCAGGATGAACCACAACCAGACATCTCCCTTGAGATGAGCCAATTAGCCCCTCTAGCCATCTTGGTCTAAAATGACCTAAAAATAATATCTCTGGCCCTCGTCAGTTTGGCTCAGTGGATAGAGCATCAGCCTGTGGACCAAAGGGTCCCGGGTTTGATTCCGGTCAAGAGCACGTACCTCGGTTGCAGGCTCCTCCCTGGCCTGAGCCCTGGTTGGGGCTCGTGCAGGAGGCAACCAATCAATATGTTCCTCTCACATTGATGTTTCTCTCTGTGTTTCCCTCTCTCTTCCACTCTCCCTAAAAATCAATGGGAAAATAACCTCAGGTGAGGATTAACAAGACAAAAAACAAACAAAAAACCAAAAAGATATCTCTGAGTAACTGATAATTACTCAGAAAGGATCTGCTTCCACACATACAGGAGCTGCTGCCTGGACATGTCGGTTGCCACGGCTTCCTCTTTTACCCCTGGGGCATTTGTGAATGGGAGCTGGGCTCTCGTTCCCTCTTCTCTGCACAGAAAATCTCTGATGCTCAAGAACTTGACCATTAGCCTGTGTGGTCAGAGCATGGAAATCGGGGGGGGCTCATGGGCAGCTAGGCTTGGTCCCCAGCAGCCTCAGGACTCACCATGCTCTGCTGGGCCTGCAGCTCGATCTCCAGGGCGTTGACCGTGCGTCTCAGCTCGATGATCTCCGCCTGGCAGGTCTGCAGCTGCTCTGAGCTGGACACCACCTGCTGGTTCAGCTCCTCGGTCTGAAACATACACACATCGGGCCTGGTCAGGATCACTGGGGACACAGCTTCTGAGGTCCACAGAGGCCACTGAGAAGCGTGAGCTGAGAAGGACCTTCCAGATCACCCAGCCCAAACTATTCATTTTAGAGGACATGGTCGCTTAGACCACAGCCACCTGCCCAAAGTGCATGTGGAGGTCAAATTAGAGCTGGGACTCAAACTCAGGTTTCTCGATAGGGAGCCCCCAGGTCACTCCTGTGTGACCCACGGTGTGTCTCCGTGGCAGACTGTTTCCAGGACGTACCTGGGTGTTGAACCAGTCCCACCCAGCCCAAACTATTCATTTTAGAGGACATGGTCGCTTAGACCACAGCCACCTGCCCAAAGTGCATGTGGAGGTCAAAACAGAGCTGGAACTCAAACTCAGGTTTCTCGATGGGGAGCCCCCAGGTCATTCCTGGCACACTGTTTCCAGGACGTACCTGGGTGTTGAACCAGTCTTCAGCATCCCGGCGGTTATTCTCCACCAGGGTCTCGTACTGGCACCTCATCTCATCCAGAATGCGATTCAGGTCCACAGGCGGGGCAGCGTCCACCTCGACGTTGAGCCGGTCACCAAGCTGGCAGCGCAGTGAGTTGACTTCCTGTGGCATAGACCAAGGTCAGCACTAACTTTCCCACTGGCTGTCCCATTGTCCTCCCCACCACAGCTACCTGCTCCCCATGCTCACCTACTCCCCTTGCTCACCTACTCCCCCATGCTCACTGGTCTCCATGTTCACCTACTCCCCATGCTCACTGCTCCCCATGCTCACCTACTCCCCCATGCTCACCTTCCCTTGCTCA